AAGTGCACCAGCCCAGTGTTCAGGTGCCCCACGACCACACTTACTTCTTCAGTTTCTCATCCAGCTGCTGCTTATCGTTTTCCAAATCCATTATGCTGTCATGGGCCAGCTTCAGGTCTCCTTCCAGTTTCCTCTTAGCTCTCTCAAGGTCCATGCGCAGTTTCTTCTCTTGCTCCAGGGACCCTTCCAGCTACAACACATGAGACCATCAGTGCTCTGCCAGCCAGGTCTAACTCCATACCTGTCCTGTTCTTCTGGGCAATCATGCTTACATCGTCCACTTGCTGCTCCAGCTTGGTCTTCGCTTTGGTCAGCGTATTGACTTTGTCCTCTTCTGCCTGCAGGTCATCCAGTGTCTGCTGATGGGCCTCTTGGAGGGCTTTCTTTTCTTTTGTCAGCTTGGCAATGGTCTCGTCCAGGGCTGCCATCTCCTCTGTGAGGTTTTTCACCTATAAATATAAGCAAGTGTCAAAATCAAGTGGAAAACATGTCTGCTGGCTCAGTGACATTTTCACTTTGCAGTGGTTTGCCAGGAGTTTCATTTATCCTTTGGATGCTCAGAAAAGACCTAGCTCAAAATTATCCAAAACTAACATATCTAATGGTAGCAGACTCTTACTCTGAGAGTCGGTAATGTCTGGACCATTTATGTGACTCTCCATGTGTGTACCTTGTTTTCAGTGGCATGTTTTTCCTTCTCAACCTTGGCCAGTGTTAACTCAAGGTCATCAATATCTTTCTTCAGCTCTGAACATTCATCTTCCAGTTTCCTCTTCTTGGCTGTCAGCTCGGCATTAATTTCTTCTTCATCCTCAGCTCTTTCAGTCACTTCTTTTACTTTGGCTTCCAGCTGGATTTTGGTTTTGATGAGCTGGTCACACCTTTCCTCAGCATCAGCTAAAGCATCAGCTTCCTGGTGACAGGATACAGGAAAGTTATTTAATGTTGAAGGAACACATCTGCATCAATAAGACCTTTAGGATTACTTTTTGAGAAAAGATTACTGTGCAATTACATTATAAATCATGAATTTAGAACAAGTTTTAATCAGTTTTGTTTTTTTCTGACTTTTTTAATTGTCAGATACTGCATCTAGCTCTATGATATTTCACATAGTTTATTTCTGGTATATCAATGGGTTAATTAGATTGAATTGGTTTCCTTTTTCTCTGTTAGAAATTATTTCATTTTATGATGTAAATAATTCCACCATTGAGAAAATATTTGAAAATCCAATTAACAGATTTATATCCAGTCAATGCAGTTAGTGGACAGTAGAACATGATTCATCTTTTCCTGAAATGGACACGTTAACTCAAGGGTGTTTTCTAAATGTTGCCTAAGTTACTGAGAGGCCAAATGGCATTGGAGACAAACATACAAGGCTGCCACTTGTGTCATAGGATGTAAGGAGCATTTGCATCTTCTAGGCACACTAGCTGCAGGGGCTCAGGTGAGATGTGCCAGAAGAGCACCAGGCTCTTCATTTTGACAATTGAATTAAGGCAGAGTTCTTGGTCAATTAAATCACTGTCCCCGCTCCAATAAATACACCACAGTGACAATAATGAGGCTTTATGTCGTGAACTCACATGAAGACATGTACATATAGGCATTAAGACTAAAATGTCTTTATTTAGCTTAAACTCAACTTTGTAATAGTCAGACTGAGCAGGGAAATAATGTGGACTGAATTTTACCTTTAGTTACATGATATTCAGCTTAAAATATTTTGTAAGGCAATTTAGTGTGCAATTTGAGAGTTCTGGAATATGAAAGAAGAGTAAAATCTTATTTACTCACTTCTATAAAAAAATAGAATAATGTTACTCACAGCCTGCACTTGGAGCTGCAGGTCATTTTTCTCCTGCATCAGTTTCACCATCTTCTCCTCCAGCTCCTTCCTCTTTGCCTCAGACTTTGCAAGCTCTTCCTTGGTTTTCTCAAACTCTTCTTTCATGTTGGCCATCTCCTTCTCAGATTCTGCACTCTTCAGCAAGGGCTTGATCTTGAAGAACAGCTTCATCCAGGGCCAGTGCTTCACATTCATGAAGGCACGAACATTGTACTGGATGCAAAAGATGGACTCCCTGAAGCGTAATTAGAATGTAGATTGAATATTTTCAATATGACAAATGTCAACACTTTCCCTCAAGTATAGTGACTTTAACTGAAGATGAGAAATGTCTACCTCCTCTCCACCATTCTCTGGTACTCCACTCTCATCAGGAAGCCCCTGCACCTGGCCTGTGTGCGGGTGATGAGCTGTGCCAGCTTCTCATCCCTCATCTCCTCCAGGAGTCCCAGCAGCCCAGCTTTGAAGAACACCTTGAGAAAGGGAACGTTGCAGCACATCACGGTTGGGTAGAGCACAGCACGGACATGCAGTGAGTGAGTTAAGGAGGGTTTGTACCTTAGTGTGGCCAAATTTGTACTGTGTGTGGTCCACATCGATTGACCCCAGAAGCTTCTCAGAAGCCTTCTTGCTGTCAATGAACTGTCCCTCTGGGATAGCACTGGCATTAAGCACTTTATATCTGTGAAAAGAGAAAGAGAAAGACAAGGTTAGTTTTTCCCAACCAACACACTCTAGCTACTGAACACCTCTAGCTCATCTGTAGCTCTTTTTGACAACAGAATGCAGCCTGAAGGAACTTACATGAATGAACCCACATTGCTTTTAATGATGCTGAGCAGTGCTGTGCTCTCACCTCTGTTTGAAGTCAGCATAGAGGACTCTGCTGGGAAAACCTTTCCTGCAAATTCTGATGCCTTCCAGCACGCCGTTACACCGCAGCTGGTGTAGCACCAGTTCGTGCTCCATGGCACCTAGAAATTTACAGTATAAATGAATACCACAGTTTCCAGTGTAGAGGAGAATGGATGTATGAGAGAAAGTTCTTTTTCTGCTTTAGTGACTTACCAGGTGTTTTTGTTTCATTTGGGATGATGCAACGGACAAAATGGGGGTGAGTGCTCCGTAGATTGGTCATCAGCTTGTTTAAATTCTCCTATGGGGTCATGTGTAGCAGCTTAGACCAAAAAAATTTACCTCTGTATACTCTATATCTAGATGCCAAGGAACTAATCTAATAAATCTGAGGAGGAAGAAGCTTTCAAATTCAAAATTTAGATTTAATGAAATCTTATATATACTTCAGTGTTCTTGTAGAAACAAAGTTTAAAATTCTGCACTTTAGTCTGGAGGAAATACAACATTACTGTAAAAAAACTCTAACACAAGCTTTTATAGGATTAGCATTTATATTATGTTCCAGATTCTGAAAAATGTTTTTCACAAAGAACGTTAGTGAAATTTTAAAAGAAGTTAAGGAGATCAGCTAAAGACTGCTTGAAACAAATCTCAAATGCGAACAGATAGTTACTATGAAAAGGCAGTGAATAATCTCTGCTCACCTCATACTTATCAGTATTTAATCATAATATCAAGGTCATGAGAAGAACAGGAATTTAGATAGCTCAGATTTGAAACTATGTTCATGTCCCTTTACGGACAATGAAATTCATACTTACTCGGAAAAGAGCTGAGACAGTCTGGAAAGAAGAGCCCTTCTTCTTGCCACCTTTCTTGCCACCACCACCACTAGCCTCTTAAACAACAGAGAGTTTTAAATATTATCTCTTTTATTCATCTTTACATATCATAAATGTTGGGGAAAAAAAAAGAATTTTAGAAAACTAACCTGCTTCTGCTCCACCATAAGAGGCAAAAAGTAAAGCCAGTGTCTTCACAGATGATTTCTGATACAATCCAATTACAGTTTCGTTCAAGGGATCCTTGTTCTTCTCAAGCCAGCCAGTGATGTTGTAGTCCACTGTTCCAGCATAGTGCACCAGGGAGAAGTGGGCCTCAGCCTTGCCTTTGGCAGGCTTGGGCTTCTGGAAGTTGTTGGACTTGCCCAGATGCTGGTCATAGAGCTTGTTCTTGAAAGAGGTGTCAGTTGCCTTGGGGAACATGCACTCCTCTTCCAGGATGGAGAAGATACCCATGGGCTGGAAGATAGTACAATAAAGAAGAGAGAATGCCTGTAGAATAACATGACCACAACTTGTTCTTAAAGGGAATAGAGTAAAAGACAGGAAGCTGAGAAACAAATCCATGTCCTTGCCATGAGGAAAATTTATTTCTAAAAAGTGAGTTTAAAAGATTTACCTGCTTGACTGACAGTGATTCAGGAATGTTTTTTTATGTCAAAAAACATGTTCAAAAATCAGGAGGAAAAAGATTATATTTAAAAATGTCTTTCACAAATGTATCCTTTTTATATTTACTTCTGCTTTTGTACTTTTAATCAACTCTAAATTATGCAGAACTAGAAGTCTCTTTCAGTTTCTTGCACTCAGAGGTCAGGCGCTGACTGTATTGGCCTGTACTCACTTTATTATGAGCCATCAAGAAAAAAATGTATTATCCAGAAAACTTTATTTCAGAACCTTAAAAAGATACTTACTGTAGGAGCTGCTCTATGTTTTGGAAAAAAACATCGTTTAATCAAGAGGGCAGAGATACCTTTCACGCAAAGAAGGTGTGTGAGGAATGACTTATTTATCTATGAACTTTATATGTGAGTGTATGTACAGATCAAGAGATATAAATAAGAAAAGTTAGAGATGTAAGCACGCCTGCAGGGCTGTGATCTTTTTGGTATCATGGAGACATGGTGGCATGGTTTCTATGACTGGAGTGTCAGAATGGAAGGATACAGGCTCTTTAGGAAGCACACGCAGGGCAGATGAGGAGGGAGTGTCACCCTCTATGTCAAAGGCCAGCTGGAGGGCATGGAGCTCAGCCAGGGGATGGATGAGGAGATGACGGATCAGGATTAAAGGAAGACAGGGACAGGTGACGTTATAGTAGTGGTCTGCTACAGGCTGGCTGACCAGGAAGACCAAGTGGATGAGGCCTTCTTCAGACAGAGAGGAGCAGCCTCAAGTTCACGAGCCCTGGTCCTCATGGGAGACTTCCTCCACCCTGATCTCTCTTGGAGGAAGAACACAGCAGGGTGCAAGTAACCCAGAAGGTTCCTGAAATACATTGATGACAACATCCTTCTCCAAGTGATAGAGGAACCAATGAGGAGAGGTGCTATGCTGGACCTTGTTCTCACCAAAAAGGAGGGGCTGGTGGGGAACGTGATGCTCAAGGGCAGTCTTGGCTGCAGTGATTATGAAATGGTGGAGTTCAAGATTCTTAGGGAAGTGAGGGCACTCAGCAAGCTCACTGTCCTGGATTTCAGGAGAGCAGCCTTTGGCCTCCTCACAGATCTTCTGGGTAGAGTAGCATGGGATAAAGCCCTGAAGGGAAGAGGGGCTCAAGAAAACTGGTTAATATTCGAGAATCACCTCCTCCAAGCTCAGGAGCAGTGCATCCTAACAAAGAGGAAGCCAGGCAGAAAAACCAGGAGGCCTGCGTTGATGAACAAGGGGCTCCTGGACCGACTCAAACACAAAAAGGAAGTCTACAGAGGGTGGAAGCAAGGACAGGTAGCCTGGGAAGAATACAGAGAAATTGTCTGGGCAACTAGGGATCAGGTTAGGAAAGCGAAAGCCCTGGCAGAGTTAAATCTGGCCAGGGACATCAAGGGCAACAACCAAAACTTCTATAGATATGTCA